TTTTTTTTTTTTACGAGTCCGCAAATCCTGTTAACTCATCGACAGACTGTTAGTAACAAAAGGACTGTATGAGCCACAGGGAAACACCCCAACATTTCCACTAATTAAAGTTTACTTCCACTCAAAGTAGAAGGCGTGCTACACACGCAGTGAGGTAGCATTGATCTTTCGTTTGTATCCATATTGCATTTTCAAAGCGCCGCCAATACAGAGTTCGAAGTACAAACAAGCGCAATAAGGGCTAAGCCCTGTAAATGGCTCCAGGTTAAGCATACCAAGATTTTCTTTCTGACGTTTTCGCTTACTTGTACTCTGACCAATAGAACATATTCGTATTCTTGGCATTGAACTGGATCTAGCATGAAGTGGAGACTCTTACGGGGGAATACATTTACATATAAAAAGGTTCCCCCGTTCAAGCCTCGTGTGCAAGCTAGTTCCAGCTCATTACGGTGGATACGAATAAGGTCTATTTTACCGGCCCTATTTTTTGCCTCTTATGACTCCCTAGTCTCCAAGGATGCAATGTTCGTAGTGTTTTTCCTTGATTCATGAGAATAACCCTTAAGAATTTTCTAATGGGTTGAATCGCTCAGCAGACACCTGAGACCATAACAATTGTCATTCCAAATCAAATCTTGAATTTTAAATCAGCTCTAGTAGTTCTAATGTGACAAGTTATCGAATTTTGATTTTAGCCCATCAAACCGCACCAGCGAGTCATTTGAAGTCTTTGGACCTCGTCATATTCATCCAGAGCTCCTCCGCCATGTCTATAGTATCTTAAAGCAACTACTCCCAGAGGTGCAACGAGACCTTTACGAAGATGTGGATGGAGAGAAGGCGACAGGCTCGAATTCACCCGATCCTGAAGAATCTGCTTTGCTTCCGGGCTCCGTGAAAATGCATCGACAAGCGAACACATTAGACCATGAAAACGCAGTCTTCATCAGGAGTAATTTCAATCGCGCAGATTTTGTGGATTTTTCTTCCGAAATTGATTTCGATTTCAAATATTCTGATTCGGCGTTCATTGACAAAAGCAATGGAATGGTCACCCAGAGCAATGCCTCTTTCTCAAAACAGTTGAATTTCGGGGAACCGATTCATTTTAATAACAGTCATCAAGACAAAATGATGAAAGTAACTATGGTAAGCCAGGTTTCTCTCATTGAACTGACAAACTACTTCGAAGAGGGGGAATTCGAAAGAGTAAGAGTTCATCTTTTCGTGAGGCTCTCTCTCCCTAAGTCTAAGGCCACTGTCTCGGTGAAGGAAAACCCACACAACGTTTCAACAGTTTCTAATTCAACCCTAACGCACAATTCAACCAACTCTTCGAGCACTCCGCTGCAACGGTCCCGGCGATCGTCGAACTTAGAGGTCGATTACTCTGCCACACTGTTTGAGAAGAAAGTAATCGGTATAACCGTAAAGGTAGTGGTAAGGCATTGGGTGCAACAAGGCGTAATAATGGGAATAAGTGCCGTTCTTTCAATTGGAAGCCACAACGAACGTATATTTAACAAGGTGTACTCCTGGAATGAATTGCAGAACCAACAACCTACTGATATCTCACTCCCGTGGAGCACTCCATCTATCATAGTAAGTGTATGTCGTGTCATTATACTTGCTTCCTTTTGATATACTGGGCATTAAGAGCGTACTCAGATCAAAGCGTAAAGTCATTCAAACTTTCACTCAACATTAGTCAATCCCCAGGGTTATTTAGTCGAGAAATACTACATCATTTTAAGATAGGTAAATAAAACTTTTTTTATTATTATCAAGACAATTTTGGCCAGTAAGCTTCTAACGTACTACCGGGGTGAACAATCGATAAGAAGCGAAATCGGAAACGCCGTTCGATAAATCGATAACAATCGATAAATGCAATTTAAACGTCATCGCTTTTATCGAAATCGAGATTGCTACTTTTACCCCAGTAAAACGTTAAAAAATCGAGTCTACGATTTTTTATTTATTTATTTATAGCAGACACCTAAGTTATTACTAGGCTAGCTTGCAAATAGCGAAGAGCTAATCGAGGCAAGCCAGACTGTAAACGGAATAATTTAGACAAGTTTTTAGAACAACAAATGAAGGTCCCGCACTTTCCAGCACTTTTGTTTTGATGGATCATTGCCATCAAACGTTTTAATTTATTACCATTATAGTAGTATCAAAGAAATTCCCAATCATTGACGAACAATTAATAGGTTACCATAGCACTGGAAAAGTTGAAAATTTACATGGACATGTCAATTTTAATTTACAGCATGTAAATATTGATTTACATTCTTTGTAAATTACAATTTACATGTTAGNAGTTGGTGTACGACCATATCTGCCGACCTGACTGCATTGGAGCTGAGTGCTGGTCTTTACTATAGGTGGTGTTGGATCATTGCCTGTGGTTCACGGAAAACCATACATAGGTTTGGAACATGGGATGGCATTAGCAGGAACTGGGAGTTGATGCCGACACGCTGTAGTTGATACACATATGAGTGAATGACGTATCTTTTTTATTGCCATTGTTAACGTTGCTGGTTTGTTTGTCAGTTCCTCACGGAGGCTGACATAGTAGCATAGAGATTGACTTGCACTTCGAACTTTCAATAACACGTATAATCAGCTGAGATCTGATTTTAAGATATAGGCGCGTAAACGTTGATCAGTAACACTTAAAATTTGTTTTCACTTCTCCTCCAGAGCAGCACCTCAGGGTCAAGTTAATGAAAATTCAAAGCAAGTTAACCCCATTAATAATAGTTAGATTGTTTGTCAAAAGGATTGGTTGTTGGAGGGAAAACGGGTGAAATGAAATAATACTTGACTCCACATTGCCTCTCCCTACCCTGGTGTAAAAGTGTATTCCGGCGACTGAGATGCTGCTTAAGATAACCCAGGCCTTTGATGGGCTAGTATACGATCCAGAGGGGAGAATTGGAAATACCTTTAGGTGCTTTATGCTATAGAAACTGGTTAAGCTCCGATCGAGTGGGCCACTTAGGCTCT